CCCTCAGAATAATATATACTCATAGAAAATATGTGAAATATGGAAGCTAGGCTAAGATACCAACAAATAAAAAGGAATGTTGAACTACCCTAGGAGTTCTAGGAAATAGTAATTATTCACTTGTACAATGTAAAACTACTTCATTTGAATGATAAGATTTTTAAAAAGAGAAGGGAGGTTCATATTAATCTGAATTGGATTTTATAAATTAAGATATTACTTTTTTCAACTTTCAGGGTAGTAAATAGGAAAAAGATTTAATGAAGAGTAGAGAAACAAACAAAAAAGATGTATAAAGTGTATAGAAATCAGATAGCAACACTGCAGATATAAACCCCACCTGGAAGGAGCCCTGGGAGCATACTGTGGTGGCTCAGTGGTAAGGAGCAGAGCTGTCAATCTAAAGGCACCCAGTTCAAATCCATCATAAAGATTTACAGGCTCAGAAACTCAGTGAATGGTTGTCAGGAGTGAGAAATGACTAGATGGTATCGGGTTTTAGGTGTTTCAACCCTGCATTATCAGTAAATATATTAAATACAAATGGAGTTAAGTACTGTACCTGAAAGGCAGATACTGGCAAAATGTATAAAAAGCCACATCTAAACTATGTGCTGTCAAGGTCAAGGTCTATGCCTTCCTTATAGGTATAAATAAGTTGAAAGAAAAAAGAATGAAAAGAAGTTATATTATGCTAACTGTAACCAACCAAAGAACTGGCAATACTCACATCAGAAAAAAAAAATAGATTAAAAAATTGTTATAAAGAAGAGAGTATTTTTATTAAAATAAGAGGTTTTTAACTAACCAAGAAAATGTTAACAGTTGTAAACATACACACACATACCAAATAACAGAACACCAAAATACACACAACAAAGCCTGACATAATATAAAGTAGAGACAAATACCTCTAACAGCTGGAGATTCAACACTCGTCTTTCAGTCTCCAAATAAATGGTCAGCTCACCAAAAAAGAAACCTTGACCTTCACCATACATCAACCCTCCCTCTCGTCCCACACCGCAATGCTGCTGAGTCAGAACTCTCAGCTGATCCTCCAGCAGGGTTTCGGGGGCTGTGAGCCCACAAGGGAAGGTCGCTACCTCTCGAGGCACTGCTTTCAAACCAGCAGAGAGGTACCGCGGCCTTTTGGCTGGCACCCCACTCCCTGCTGACTGCAACACCAGAGCAAATACCAAACAGGTCGGGGAGGCGGGAGCGTGGGGAATCACACATGAAATTACAAAATAGTATTTCGAGATGAATAAAAAGGAAAACAAAGTATACAGAAACTTATGAGATGTTAAACTGGTGCTCAGAGGGAAATTTATAGCTAAGCATCTAATTTTTTTTAAAAAAAGTATTTCAAATCATTAACCTAAGCTTTTACCTTAAGAAAGTAGAAAAGATAAAGCAAGCAAGGAAGAGGTCCTAGTGTCTCAGGAAACATACAAATCTGTTTTGGAAGAGTAAGCGCAGCTTAAGAGCTTCTTATTGCAAGGACAACAAGACTTCGCCCCTGGTCCTTGGGGCGAGTCACTAGAGAAGGACATGATGGTGGCTAATGCAGATCATCGGAGAAGGCGGCTCTCAGGGGGACAGACGGACAGGGTCGCTGCAACAATGGGCTCAGTCACAGTAAGGAATACGGGAATTGATTCATTAATATCTCAGTGTGTGTTTTCTCAGATACCACGGGATGCAACCTCCAGACATTTAAGTGGCAAGAAGCTACTGTGTACAATTAACCACCCCTGAAAACTGCTTAGTTCCGACTCAAGGGGACACAACAACAATATCAACACCACAGCATTATTTAAACTACTCTCCAAAAACGACTGGAACAACACATCAACAGAGAACTACCAGAAGTCCAGGCTGGGTTTAGAAGGGGTCGTGGTACTAGGGATATTGTAGTTGATGTTAGATGGATCTTAGCTGAAAGCAGAGAATACCAGAAGAATGTCTATCTGTGTTTCATTGATTATGCAAAAGCGTTTGACGGTGTGGATCATAACAAACAGTGGCTGACTGAGAAGAATGGGAATCCCAGAACACTTGATTGTGCTAATGCGAAACCTATACTTGGACCAGGAGGCAGTCATCAGAACAGAGCAAGGGAACACTGCATGGTTCAAAATTGGGAAGGGCATAAGCCAGGGATGCATCCTATCTCCATACCTTTTCAACCTACACGCAGAACAGATTATCCGGGAGGCTGGGCTCTATGAGGAGAAATGTGGGGTCAAGATTGGTGGACGAATTATCAACAATCTGCGTTATGCAGATGACACAAACCTGCTTGCTGAAACTGAAGAGGACCTGAAGCACCTGATGCAGTGACTGCGGCAATGGGCTCAAGTGTGTCAGAGAGGAGGGTGGCACAGGACAGGTCAGGTCCAGACCTGCCATTCACAAGGTTGCTATGAGTCGGACTTGACTTGACAGCAACTAACAAGAACCAGATTAGGCTGACCATAACAGACACGACCAAGTTATAATGATACGTGCAAAGGGCTGGGGTTAGAAAACCAAGGGGGAAGAACATGGTCAGTCCTTCTCAAGCTCAAAGCAATGAAGAACAAATCTAGACCTTGTGGTATAATACTGAAGGGTCAAAAGCAAAATTGTGAATGATGCAGAAAGCATCAGAAAAGGAAGGAATATAGTCACTGGACCAAAAACAGTCAACACCGAAACAGTTCAGAAAGCAGCATGTGATCAAGAACTCACAGTACTGAAGGAAGAAGTCTACTCTGTACTGAAAGCATGAGCAAAAATTAAGGCCCAAGGAACTGATGGAAGACCAACTGAGGGGTTTCAAGGAACAGATGGAACCCTGCACATTACCAGACTCTGCCAAAAATGACGGAAGACAGCTACCTGGCCAACTTATTGGAAGGCTTTCATATATGCTCCCATTCCTAAAAAAAGGAGACCCAGCAGAATGTGGAAATAATAGAACACTAACATTAATAACACATGCAAGTAAAATCTGGCTGAAGATTATTTAAAAGATGGCTGGGGCAATACATGGATAAGGAAGTGCTAGAACTTTAAGCTAAATGTAGAAGAGGCCGTGGCACAAAGAGATAGAGATCACTGCTTATGTCAGGTGGATCCTGGCTGAAAGCAGAGAATACGAGAAATATGTGTACTTATGTTTTACTGACTGTGCAAAGGCATTTGACTGTATGAATCATAACAAACTATGGCTAAAATTGAGAAGAATAGGAATCCCAGAACACTTAATTGTGCAGGTACAAACTCTATACTTAGACCAAGAAGCTGTTGTTTGAATGGAACAAGGAAACACTGCATGGGTTTAAAATCAGGAAAGGGTGGGTTTTATCCTTTCTGAACACCTATTCAATCTGCATGCTAAGCAAACCATCTGACAAGCTTGACTCTATGAAGAACAACATGGCATCAGGACTGGAGAAAGACTCCACAACAACCTGGATTATGTTGATGACACAATCGTGCTTGCAAAGTACATGAAAAACTTACTGCAGAAGATCAGAAACTACAGCCTTCAATATGAGTTCCATCTAAATATTTACAAAAATCCTCACCACTGGACCAAATGGCAACATCACCACAAATGGAGAAAAGATTAAAGTTGTCAACAATTTCCTCTTACTTGGATCCACAATCAACACTCCTGCCATCAAGAGCCAAGAAATTAAAAAAAAAACATATTGCATGGGGAAATCCGCTGTCAAGGACCTCTCCAAAGTTCTAAAGAGCAATGATGTCAGTTTAAACACTAAGGTACACTTGATTCAAGCTATGGCGCTTTCAGTTGAAATGTGGACAATAAATAAGGATAACAGAAGAATAACTGATGCTTTTGAATGAAGGTATTGGTGAAGAATAGGCAATTGGTGACTATACAATGATCTGTCAGAGCAA